ATATATATATATATATATATATATATATATATATATATAATGTAACATAAGAAGTCTTAAAATGTTTTCAGAAGAGTAATTGTTCAGTCACCTTTCTCATTAAAAGTTTTTTCAGCTGCTACCGGTGCAATTAAGGAACTTTGAGACTCAAAACTATAAATTAACTTTATATTCAAGTGAAAAGATGTACACATTTTATTAGCCTTTAAACAAAGACGCTGTATACAGAATTTAAGAGAATTACTGAAGGTTAGAAAATAATTAATGCGCCGTGTTTATATAGCTCCATTGCCAACACATCCAGATTTACTGAATAAAGAAGTTTTAAAATGTCTGACAGCTTGTATCTAAAGGTGAAGAGGTGTGCTGCGGACCACTCTGCTCTCTGCAGTAAGAGCACGTTTCCTTTCTGTCATCATTAGCATGTGAGCTGCAGCTCGCCATGGGCAGAGGGAGGGAAGGAGTGGGAACAGTTATGAACAGGCTGGAAATGACCCAGATTCCCTGAGATCACTGGAGCAGACGAGACGCTACGAGAGCCTGTCACCAACGGCCTTCCTGTTACAGACCTACAGCATCTTTCCATCTGCTCACCCCTCCACCTCTTCATATTCCTGCTGCTCTATATGTCCTTTAAACCCACTGAGATGTATGCGAACGCATGTGCAGGCTCATCAAAGGGTTTACTCACTGGCAAATGCCAAGCATAACACCTTTGTGTACTCTGACCAGTTGCAGGATGAATGGAAGGCAGGCAGCGAATTCAACCTGGCAACATGAGTGAACGCTGTTATTTCCAGAGGCAGGCTCGACAACGGCTGAAGATGCAAATATCCCTGCGTGTTCACAGGCTGCCAGGGTTTTGTTGATTTCCCTTTGCACTGCTGCCCCGGCCACCGGATTAACTTTCCAATTAAGATATCATGTCAGCAGCATCACCAGTAACCCCTGAATGACCCGGACGCTGTTAAAAAGCCTGCTCCATGAGGCAGGACTTTAAAGAGAAGCCACTCCACTCATGTGTTGCCACGAGGCTCCGCAGTGACAGAAGGGTTAAGCCAAATCTCTCTCAGAGTTGTGTTTCAGACCCACTTGCCCTCGGGGCAGCGCTGGCTCTCGACGCTACGTTTAATCTGTGGATTTGTGGTAACAGAGAAGACTTCTTATCCACTGACCCATTGGCCCCTAGTGTACATAATCCAGTGCCTTTCAGTCACACAGCCCAGCTGACATGGAGAGAGGAGAGCCCGGATAGTGGGGGCACACACACATGGCCAGTTGCACTGACACACATACCATCCCCTGAAGCTTTTGTTCAGCGGGGCATGCACTGGGCAGCTCAGCCTGGCCACTGTTGTCACAATCAGTGCACGAGATACTTGACCTTACACCCAAATTTACCGCTTTATTGTTTAAAGATGATATAAATCTGCACGTCGAGATACTTGATATTCAGACAGGACTGTTTTCTTTCAGAGCTCGTATTAAAACCAACATGTGCAGCCCAGAATGCACGTACAGTGAAGTCAATACAAAAGCAATGCACTATGGGTCAAAGAGAATTCCTGTTGTGTAAATCTCTGCAGTGCTCCTGAATTTTACAAAAGGTTTCTTTCTTTTTTTTTTTTTTTTAACCAACCGTTGCCTGTAAATGCAAGTTCGTTGAATTCTGCTATTGTCACACTGCAGACACACACAAAAAAGAGATTCTGAATTGAACGTTTTCCAGCGTGCAGCGTTCCAGCTTCATTGCAGGTTGCAAATTTGATAGAGGAGGTTACATTCGGCTGCGGCAAACAAACAATACGGAGAGAGTGGACCTCGAATCCTTGGCAGAAAGCCATTAGGAATACCTTGAAACCTACCCTTTTTTCCCTTCAAAAACACATTTGTAGAGCATGTTATAGAGCGCATGCAATTATTACATCCATTCCACTCTTGAATGCAGTCAATTTCTGCCCGGATAAAGGGCTAAATGAAACTAGAGGGAGTGCATGGTGCACACTGCTCCACTTTATGCAGCCTGTGTTTGTGAAGGCAGAGCAACAGGGAGCAGAAATTGCAAATGAACAAATGCACAACATCACATATATAGATAGCACTTGGGCGACAAAGTGTGTGTGTGTGTGTGTGTGTGTGTGTGTGTGTGTGTGTGTGTGTGTGTGTGTGTG